TCTCACATGCCTGTAGTAGTACAAAGTTCACCATCGTCTCCACTGTTATTGGATTTGTTGGTGAGCTCAGTGGATCCTTAGTAACTCCAAAACCATCACCGTAGTGGTTTTAAAAGCTCATTTGTGTTGTATTTGTTTCAAAACACCGACACCACGAGGTGCATAACCTGCAGCATTTGGAGAGGGTCTTTGCACTTTAGGGGTGTGTTTTCTCTAACATTGGGTGCACCAGTACTTCCAGACCATATAACGCAGGGGTGGCCAAACTTTTCTGATTGTGAGCCATGTACAGAAAAAGTCAAGTGCCAAATTCTGACATGTCAGTCACTATTTGTCTTTTCAGTTCTGCCATGTTTAATCTGGCTACATTTTTTTGTGATAGTGTTTTTTGTGATAGTGCCACCTAGTGAATTGGTGGGCCTCATGCACAACGACACAAAATAAGTAAACCCTATCTGCTAGCACATCTGCCAGCCAACCATCTGCCCTGAAGTTGATGTGCACAGCCGTAGTATGTATCGACATCATGATCGACATGCATACAATCACTGACTTAGGTTTAGGCACACACCTCTGTGATGTTATAGGGGTAAGGGGCTTTGGGGGGCTGTCAACGCCTTTAAGACTAACATAGTTAGCTAGCTAGATACTCACATAGTTTTGGATGTGTCACAGAAATCTAATACGCACAATGACCAGGCTGGTAAGCAGTTGTGCAAAATGACATCTAGTGTTTAAACTAGAATGTACAATGTACATACAGCAAAATGTATATAAGAAACCATAATAAATGTGGGTGTTTGTGTGCACCCACTGCAACAAACAAATTGTATTATTATACAATTCCACACGTCGGCACCTGTAATGTAACTTGTTTTAGTGATCTGAAAATGTGTGCATCTGTGTGTGAAACTGCAAGTATAAGAGATAGGGACAAATGCAACTGGGTATGCTCTACATGCTTGGACTGTGGATCATGGTGTCCTCTGCTGACTTGCTGATGGACTACTTAGCAATGAAGCAGCTCAGCTTAACTCAGACTCTGAAGGCTTCACACATATAGCTGTGTGTGTCCTTCTGTGGCCTAATTTTAACTCATATTAAGATATCTTTTAAACAGGCAATTGCAAATGAATAATGAACCTCCTGGTGTACCACTTTATTTGTGAATATTAATATTCTAGTTCAAACCGCACTTATCTATGCTATAAATATGTTTGTGTACTTCTGCTGCTGTGACACTTTAATTTCCCTTCATGTGATCAAAGAAGGGCATCTTATCTTATAAAAATACAGAGCTAATCATATGAATTCTTAATATGTCTTAGAGGACTGAATAAATAATACTAATGATAACCTTTATTTGTAGCCTATATCTTTTAAAAAGCAAAAGTAGACATTGTTTAAGAAAAAATAATAAAAGGCTAAACACATACAAGAACAATAGAATGATATCCATAATAATGGACCAAATTAAATTAAACTGATAAAGCTTAGAATTAATTAATTTACATACTTTCTGAGATGATATACAACAGACTATGTGTCAGATAGAGTATTGTATTAGTGTGTGATCAAGTAGTGATTACAACCATTGGGTACCAGTCCGAGGATTATGTAATTTCATTGAACGGGTATGTTTTCCCTTTGACAAATAGCGGACCAATCAGAAGCCGCGCTCCACTGACAGCCCGCTGAGGCGGGGCATCACACCAGACGCTCTGCTCGCTCATTGGACGCTGATCTCTAAGCCCATGACTCGCCAGCCAATCAAAGGCGTCAGTCGATCTGACGAGGTTCGTTACAGAAAGCGGTGTTGTCTTCGAGCCGGTGCAGCATCTCAGCGACTCATCGTTTTAATGGGGAGCATCTCGCCAGGGTTAAACATCAGTTTGTAGCAGCTGAACACCTGAAGCAACATGGACATCCTGAAGTCACTGGGCCACCCGGAGGAGATATTCAACCTGTTTAAGTTTAAGATGGGGGGTTGCAGAACCGTCATGCCAAAATTGGATTATGTGAGTAAACACTCTTTATGAAAATATGTAGGCTACTGAGAATAAATTTTCCATGTGAACATGATGACAGCAACCTCATGCAGTTTGAGTTGCATGCGCAGAATTGCCTCATTTATCAAGTAGCACACAAGGTTCCCGTTTTCACAGGCAGGAAATCTCAATGTAGCAACACGGCAGACCACCATCAGCAGGTATCTGCATATGCTTAGTGTTCACAACATACGTTGACACGGATTGACATGGTGCTCCTTGGTGAGCCGATGGAAACAGAATCCGCTAGTTGGATTAATTAGATCTGTGCCGTCTCTCCTGTGTTGGCTGGAATATACACAGGCAGATATGACCACTGACTCGGGATTTACCTTATATAATGAGTTTAGGGTTCAGCAGTGGGATGAGATGCTGTGCGCATGTTTGACGGTTAATCCCACTGGTTTAACACCAATGTGACCCAGAGAGAGAGTCTGCATAGACTGCAACATGGTTTGACCAATGAGTCTTCATGCCTTCGTTTTGGTTGGTAGCATTATGGCCCAGACAAAAGGATAACTCAATCATATCCAGCCTGTGATTCTTGCAAGTGAATCATCAGGTTTACATATTTTTCTGTGACATGTCAGGTTTTCCGGAAATATACGCTAAAATTGGCACTGAACAGTAGCCTGGTCTCAGAGCTCCTCTGACCATTTACATTTAGACTATCTGACGCTTTTATCCAAAGCAACTTACAATTGCTATTTATCAGAGGTCGCACACTTCTGGAGTATCTGGGGGTTAAGTGTCTTGCTCCACTGCCCCATCACCACCCCACTTTTTGTGATGGAGCACCACCTATTAAAATATATTATTCTCATCCAGATAATTTGGTCCTTTGAAGCAGTTTCAGGATTGAGTTGGTAATCCTGGATGAAGTCAAACCTGCACTTGGCTGAGTGCTGATCATGTGATTGCAGGTTCATGCCATAGACTGGATAAAGGTTCATGCAGTAGGTGTGTTGGGAACCCTTCCAGCATGGACAGAGGCAATAGATTCTCAAAGTCTCATGTTATGCGTTGTTCTACATAGTGCTTACAATGTTTCAACACTTCCATCACTGTTAAAGCTAGATATTACCAGTACATATGGTTAGACTATGAGTCATTTTGGGTGCATTATTGGTTAAAGTTGTTTAATGCATTTTATGTATAATAACAATACATTCAGTAATAAGATGTATAATGTTGTATGAATGTGCAAGAGCTTAAATGGTACAGTGATAATTATAAGCCTGCTGTGAATCTTACTGAAATCTCTTTTTAAAAGTAGCTGTAATCGTTCAAACAATGTTCAGCAAAGTGAGTTCTGCAGTTAAATTTTTTAAGTTTAAAGACAAATTCCCATTTTAATGTCATATTAAATGCCATATTCTGGCACAATTGAATATATACTATTGGTCATGTATAACTTTAACTGTGATGATTACACAAACAGATCATAGTGATTTTACAATAACCTGCATGTTCTCATCTAAAATCCTAATTCAATTAACACTCTGAGAAAGCCTGTTCATTATCCAGCTAACCGGAAATAAGCCTGCACTTCTGCAGGTGTGGGTTTAAAGACATGTTGCTCTGACAACTGTGACAGGTGGATTTTAAACAGCTTTGAAGAACCAAATCTATCTGGATATCTCAGTTATGCACGTATGAAGAAAGGCACAGGCTGTTTTTGACAGTGTTATGATGATTTGTTATTCTAAATTAGGCCTGACCGGTATTAGTTTTTTCATACCTTAATACCTTCCTGAAATTTCACCTGGGTATCCGGTATGATGGTATTTGTGGGGGGAAAAAACGTAAAAGCTGAGCTGCTGGTGACAGACATTGTAGCATGCTAGGGTATTTATGTTTTAACCAGCACAGCTTTTCGAGTCTTTACGGTACTGGCCTCGAATCTTCTCACGTGATGGTGCTCAGCCAATCAAATGCGAGTCGACTCAGCGAGACCACAGGATGAGCGACAGTCTCAGAAATGATTTCACCTATGGATTTGACATGGCGTGCGCTAAAGACAAAGTAGACAGCGAAAACAGAGCTTGTGTTTAAAAATGGACAGCCCATTGGCTGTATAAAAGGCAGACTTCATTCCCACTTTGAGACCGTGGTGGTTATTTAAAGCGTTAATGGGTGGTGATGGAACAGTGGATATTACACATGCCTTTGGCGTGAGAGACCCGTGTTCGAATCAACTGTGAGACATAACGTGACATATATAACAATGCTAAATTGCTTTTGGTTAAAATTCACACCTAAATGTAAAACGCCATTAAGGTTAAAGGAAGGAAGAAACACGCCCCTTGTCGGCCAGGCATACTAACCTAAAAAAGAGGAAACAAGTATAGAGATACGTTTCTATAATGCATGCAATCACAGGTGCCTGGCAACCAAAACACACTAGTCGTGAAGGTGAAGGCCCCCCAAGCTATATTTACTTTGTGCACTTTTTATCTGCGTGTGTGGGCCAGTCACCAAGAGGCAACATTGGCTAACAGCATACGCAGATATTTTGGTCTGTGTGTTTTTCATTCAACGGACGATAACGTTATTCTTTCAGTCTGCTGTGACACAGTGATGTAGCACGTCGGCTAAGACTTGGGTTTAACTGCCACGTTATTTTTTTGAGCAAGGAGCAGATTAGGAAACACGGTGGAGTGCAGCTGGTGTTGTTCAGTGCAGAGGTGGGAGGAGTTGTGTAATCATAACAGCAGATCTACAAACGCTGTGCACGGACCCTGCTCGCCTACACAGTGAAGTTGTGACTGCTTGAGGATCAGTGGAGCGCTTGTTTTTAGCTCTCCTAAAATGTTTTGACGTCGCTCGACCTCCCAGCTCACTTGTCCTTTACATGGACTGCGTGTTTCAAACTTCTCCACCCGCCGTGGCGTCGACATGGACGGGGTCGTGTTATAGCTGCAGGGTCTGTCGTACTGTCAGGTTATTCGTATGGCCGGAGCATGCTGCAAGTGTCCAGTCTCCCTGTCCGTGTTCAAGCGCTCACTCTCGGTGGCGCCGCGGGGATGCGGGTCCGCACCTCGGTCCCTCCTTCTGAGCTGGAGGCTAGGGGAGCGGGGCCTGCAGGAGGCCGCCCGACCCTCCAGCGCACTCAGAGCATGCTCTTACCGACACACTGCCTTCGTCTGTCTCTCCTGCCAGGAGTCCATGAGTGAGAGTCTGCGGACCTGCTACCTGTACCTGAACCAAACCAGCCGGAGTTTTGCAGCTGTGATCCAAGCGCTGGACGGGGAGTTGAGGTGAGTATAGCTCCACTGGAAGCTGAGCTGGCTCCAAGAGAGGGGTGTGTATGTGTCTGCAGGCATGTCTTTTTCCCTGACGTGCAGAACCAGGGGCGTTGGCTGAGGTGCTTCCCTTTTCCTCACTAATACTTTTTTTGTGCAAAATAAAAGATACATTCAAAACTATTTATGCCGTCGAAGCTACTATCAGCAGTTTAGACTTCCTTGCATTGGATCCATTCTCTTATTTCGTGTTGCATTTGTCTTACTACATTAACAGTCCACAGCTTTTTATATACAGTCTATTTCCACATCTTAAATCATGGTATATCCTGTGGAGTTGCACTGAAGTCTGACAGCAGCCACAGGTCCTGTTCAGTGCCAGGCATTTGTCAGGCACCCAAAATGAATGAGCAGTGTCCTTTTATTCTAGACAACTGTTTGCACAAAGACCGCTTATCAACAGCTTATCAACTTAACAGTGGATTGTGGGATGGAAGCTGGAGGTGTGCCAGTTAACCTCCTGGTTGCAGCCGAGGTGCCCTTAAGCAAGGCACTGAACTCCTAACTGCTTGAGGCCCCCATTTGAATGTCTATGGTCGTGTGTGTGTGTGTGTGTGTGTGTGTGTGTGTGTGCATGTTTGTGTTTCGGGGATTTTGTGTGTAACATTGTAAAAATAAAAATGGAGTGAAAAAAAAATTCCTAAAAGCAGTTTATAAAAGTAATTCTACTTCTTCAGTATAGGCTGTGAACACCTTTTTTTGGGACTTATGATATGCATATCAGTTGTGACACCTCCACTGTATTAGTCTGCTCAATACTGGAGAAAAAGTAACGGACATTATGTAGTTATTTTTAGAAATGGTGTTACTAAGGACATTCCACAGTAAATCATGTCACTTAGGGTTTCAACTAACTCATAATTGATAATTGATTAATTGTCTCAGCTCACACAGTATCACTAATGAATAATGATGAATATGATGATAACCAGGTACAGGGTAGCAACAAACGCAGGCTTTTGATGCCGCTGTGCAGAAAGAGATTTAATGTGTCTAAAGTAACATTGCACCACCAGTAACAAATAACTTAATTGTGGCCACATTCTCCTCGTAACCTGTGATGACCTGCAGCAGGAATCCAAAAGGAGACTAATATTATAAACAAGGGAGGCTGCTGCTGCTGCTGGATGTCTTATTTCCAATTCATCATCAGAACTGTTAGTAGAGAGATGATGTTTGTAAATACAAATCTTTAGTGCTAAAATTCTCTTTATATAGACTTCCCTGATCTGTGACCACCTGCTTGACATGCCTGCTACTTTTGTCGTCTTATGAATCGGTGATTAGGCAACCTTTCAGTTAGCATGTGCAAATGCCTTCATTTGAAAGCTTTTCCAGTTGTATTTTAAAGCCATCTTCTCTCCTGTCCTTTTATGATCCAGACACGCAGTTTGTATTTTCTACCTGGTGCTGAGAGCACTGGACACAGTGGAGGACGACATGAGTATCCCTCTGGACAAGAAGGTTCCCATGCTGAATGATTTCCACACCTACCTGTACCGGGATGACTGGTGTTTCACTCAGAGCCAGGAGAAAGACCGACAGGTTCTGGAGGATTTCCCCACGGTCAGTAGCACTACATGCTGGTACATAGAAGGGCAGTAGGCTGGTATATTAGGCTGTCCAAGTTTAATATACTCATGTAGTCCATTTTTAAATGACAGATTTACAGACAAAATGGCAGCATTCACATTTATTTCCTGGTTCTTACACACTAACATACACAGAAAATACCATGTTAATTATAGAGTTTAGTTTGTGAGTTGGTTGTATAATATCTATGATGGTAAGAAATGTCTAAAATGAAATCGTTGTCACTCAGATTAAAGGTTATAAATCAGTAACTATATACTTCGTGTGTACTTGCAATCCAGATATCACTGGAATTCAGAAACCTCGCTCAGGAATACAGAGACGTCATCTCAGATATCTGCCACCGTATGGGAGTCGGGATGGCCGAATTCCTGGAAAAGAAAGTGGGATCCATGAAGGAGTGGGACCTGGTAAATGTTAGCCTTGTGTTGCTATTATGTTAGAATAACTGCAGAAATATTAGACTTAAAGGCTGTATAATGGGCATGTTTAAATGCCGATAAGACATAAACTACTTCAATCTGTAACGACACAAACAGATCTCTGGCACTGGTTATGGTACCTGTTACTAACCATAACAGTAGAGGTGATAGAAATGTGAGATTAGAGCAGAGATGCTATTGTTTTGTCTTTGGCTTGAAAGAAAATATGTTATTTCTGACATGTAACTGTGTCTGTGACAGTTTGGATGTTATGCGAAGAAATAGCAAACTAACCTTAAACCATTTTACTTGATTGCAGTATCATTCTATCTTAATTAGAGCTGCCACTAATGATTATTTATTATTATTAATTAAGTTGATTAATCGTTTAGTTGTTTAGTATATAAAGTGTCAGAAAATGGTGAACAATGTCTATCAGTGTTTCCCAAAGCTCAAGATGACGTCCTCAAATGTTTTGTCCACCACCCAGAGATATTACTGTCATACAGGAGGAAAGAAACCAGAAAATATTCACATTTAAGAAGCTGGAATCAGAATTTTTACTTTGTTTCTTAAACAATTACTCAAACCGATTATCAAAATAGTTGGCAAATAATTTAATCGTCAACAACTAATCATTGCAGCCCTAGTCTTAATGTATTTTTAGTTGTTCTGGTAGCTTAAATTTTTATCAAGTCTTATCACATACCATGTAAATCTACCACGTAATTTTGTCATACATGTCATGCTGTGACTATAAAAGCCACATTGTCTTGTTTTATTCTCTGTGCAGTATTGCCACTTCGTGGCAGGGCTGGTTGGTATTGGCCTGTCTCAGCTGTTCTCTGCGTCCAAGCTGGAGGACCCCGAGGTGGGGCGGGACACTGAGCTGGCCAACTCCATGGGCCTGTTCCTCCAGAAGACTAACATCATCCGAGACTATCTGGAGGACACACAAGAGGGACGTGCCTTCTGGCCACAAGAGGTGAGGTCGTAGTGAGAGCGTGTTTGTTTTACCTGTGTGTCTGACCTGAACCTCAAAGTTATGCAGTATGATTATGACTCCTGAATACTTTTCATAGTTAAACCCACTCAAACCTAATTATTTACTCATATTTTATCATCCGAATATACCAATGTCATGCCGCATGGAGAGTTGTCTCACGTCATATTGTGTCAAAAAATAGATTTTTGTTGTTTGTTTGTTCATTGTTTGCTATCTGAGTAATCGTAAAAGTTATAAATCTAAATAAAGCAGTAGGAGCGTAAAATGTGATGTGTTGAATTTTGTCCCTGTGCAGGCCTGGAGTCAGTTTGCAGGTCGTCTGGAGGACTTGGCCCAACCTGAGAAGTTGGAGTTGGGTCTCTCGTGTCTCAACCTGCTGGTCACTGATGCTCTTCGTCACGTCCCGGATGTTATTGCCTACCTGTCCCGCCTGCGCAACCAGAGCGTCTTCAATTTCTGTGCCATTCCACAGGTACACGCTGATTGGTGACTTACTGCATTCCAACAATGTAGTGATAGAATTTGATTTGTGTGACATGACAGCACAGATTAACGTACGACTTTTAGAATTTTTTTAGAATTTTTTTCAACAACTTTTTCAAGACGGGCCTTCTTCCACTTCACAACATGTTAATCCTCTCTTGACCAGGTGATGGCAATAGCTACACTGTCGACATGCTACAACAACCCCATGGTGTTCCAGGGAGTAGTGAAGATCAGAAAGGGACAGGCTGTCACACTCATGATGGACGCCACCAACATGAGAGCTGTGCAGACCATCATCGCCCAGTACAGCCAGGAGGTGGGTGTGTTTTTTGTGTTTACTCTCTTACTTCCACCACATGGGGGCCCTTTAACACAACCAAAATCTTGCTCTCCCTCTCTTTAGATTTTACAAAAGGTCTCCCCCACTGACCCGTCACGGGACAAGACCCTGCACATCCTGGCTCTAATCCGAGAGAAGTCTGCACTGTCACAGTCCAGCCTCCCCTCCAGGACCCACCACCTGTCGCCTATGTACCTGTCTGCTGCCATGCTGCTCGCCGCCCTCAGTTGGCAGTACCTCAGCACCACTGCAGCACAGGCACAGGGCACTGGCGACATGCAGGGACAGTGAGCCCATTTACCCTCACCTTTCCTGGGGCCCACAGACTCAGAAAGCCCCTTCGCCCCATCTGGAGGTCCGGTTCTCCTCTGACAGGAAGAATCTGAAGCCCTTCTTCCCACTTTGCCCTCTTCATTATGGCCGTTGCAGGACCATGGAATCATTTAGACTATGGAGGGGTTCCGGTAGCAGGCTGGTCTCATTAGGTTTGATAGTGATTTCTTGTAGTCCACCCTGCATCTGGAAACATTATTTACACATGTTGTCTGGTTATATTCACCAGCATAAATGGCACATTGAAACAATTCAGGGCTTTATGTTGTTTGATGTTTGTGTTGCTCGTTTTTCTTTCTTTTGTTTGATTTGTTTTAAAATTTTGACCCTACTGATTTGAATGAATTTATTCAGCAACATTTGAACATTTCAAGAGAAATTAATAGTTTAATCTTCTCCATTAAGTGGACTGAAATGAGGAAATGCACACTACATTGCACTGCCCATTTTAGGAGTTTGGGGAACACAGTCACCAAATTTCACTAAGTTTCTGTTTAATTTTGTGTCAAATCTTAGTCTTAGTCTATATTTTTCATGTCAGATCAGAGCTAGCTGACTATTCCACTTGTTATGTTTATACAGGAGAAACCCTCAAATGAACAGTTACAACAGTGCACTTTATATGCACTGTGTGTTAGCATAACAGCATCCACTCACAGTAGAGATTTGATTGAACCCTTTTATGTCGGTGTTCTTTCTGTTTCTCTCCTTTTGAAATAGGAGAAAAATAAACTGTGCAATTCCAATGTAGTTTTAACATGGACTGTTTAAACGAATAGGGGAGAACAAATGTTTATACATTTGATATCTGATAGAAATGCATATTGAGAGTAAGTGCTAGCTAAAGTGTCCTTAACACAGCTTTGGTGAGTAGAACGGCTAGCACAGTGTAACCCTGTACAGAACCAAAGGAGAGCTACAATCATTGCTATGTAATGTTAAATTTTGATTTGTACATATTTGAACTAATAAAGAGGTGAAAACATCTAAACTCTGAATGTTGACATGACAAGTTGTTTTTAAATTCAGCCTGTTGATTATAGAGTTAAACTTGATATTAAACTTGTATCAAAGGCATAAAGTTTCCAGAAAGCAGCAGTGGCGCAACTGTCCCACAATCCAAGAGATCAGGGATCCTGTGTATCCTGTTGGGACAAACAAAATGACACAGCAGTACAAACTGAACATTTTGTCTACTTTATATTTTAGAGAAGACACATTATCATGCTATCTGTGTTTGGTTTTATGACTTCCAAATTCTCCTCCAACAGTGGTTCCCAACCCAACCTTAGTGTGACCTCTCATCGCAGATTAATCCTTAGTGTAGACATGAGTTGTGAGCAGCTCCACCAAAGAGGGTTTTTTCCCACGTCTCAGATTGTTTCAATTGAAGAATTTGCACAGTTCTGATGAGATAAAAGCATTCTGTTTTTAACATGAAAAAAACCCAAAAAACAAATAGGGAAAAGTAAGACAAATTTATCATAAATTTTTTGTAAACTTGTTACCTCTCAGATTTATCCAGGGACAATTTGGGGGATCCTGACCTCCAGCTTGGGACCTACTGTCCTACAACATAATTGGAGTGATTTTTGGCAGTTGACTATCAAATAGTGGACGCTGGATGTCTGTGAAGATTCTCAGTCATCCGGGTCATAGTTATCAAAGGAAGGTTAAAATCAAGGGCAACTGGCTCAGGATGAGAAGTCAAACGTCTTCAAGATCCTCAGCTGGGGAGAGGAGAACGGGACACCCTATTGGCTGGCTGCAAAACTGCTGGAACAGTGATAAAATAAAGATACGACAAAAAACAGGATTGTGGGTCATGTTTCTTTGTCACATATTCTTTCAAGTGCAGGACCTACCAATGTCACATAATCTGGTGAGTGACACAGTAAAGAAATGTCATCCCCCCCCCCCCACACACACTTTTTTCTGATTTCAGGCTTCTTCAAGATCAAGCGTGGAAATGATGAGCGTGGTATTGAGTTAGATGTGGTTACAGGAATCCATCTCAACTAGATTAAATGAGTCCTGTCAAATCGAGTCAATGAAGTCAATCAGGAAAGATTAAATACAGACCTTAGTTTGTAATTGACTTGTCTTTTGCATTTAGGCAAATATTGAGAGATTTCATGTAATCGACAGGGAATAAATTGCAGACAATGGTGAAACAAATACTTTTGATTTTGTATAAATCATTATGTTTTAGTTTTTACCCAAAGAACTATACATTACAGTGCAGCTTCACAAGGTCAATTTAAGGATCTGTAGTAAAAGCAAGTTAGGAGTTAGGCTATGTAAAATCGTACAAGACTGTATGTGACACTTCAGTTTAGATGCTTTATGATGTTTAGAAGTCGTGTGGGGATGTTATTGTTTGGTTTTATGGCCTCTGTGTTTTAACATGGCAGATGTGAGTAGAAGCAGCACTTAAGCGCATACATAGAAAGTTGCTTACATTTGGCTTCAGTTTCTGGAAACAACAATGGTGACAGTATTTTCCATTAAAGATGTTCAAAGTCTGTTAGGTGCAAATTAAATTGTCCGCTTAAAATATTGTTCTTCTTGCTTCAAGCAACAACTGCACCCTTAACTGATACTTGGTTTGCAATTGTTGTTGTTTTTTCTTACCACTTTTCAAAATGAAATTAGTTTATATCACCAATGCAATAATAAGAAATTACATCCAACATATGTGTAGCCTTGTGAAAAAAGCGGGACTAATAAATACATGCAATAGGATATCAAAGGCCAATCCTATTCTTTGGCCTAAGAGCAACCACCACTGAAAAATGCCACAAGACAAGTGAGCAGCCTAAATATCAGTCCAGTAGCGAAATACAAGCACAGTCCACAGTCTGAACAAATTAGAGAAGTGGGTGGCAATTCAGACGTCTGCCATAAACACTAAAGAAGAAGGGAAAGAAGAGTCCTGTGCAAAGGTAGAGTTGGATTACCTGTTAAGGTAAAAAAAATGAGCAGAGCACCCACACAACCAGCTGTATTTTTCCCTGACCCTCAGAAACCAACCAGTATCATTCTTAAACTAGAACACTAACCTACCCCAAGGTAAGTCAGTTAAAACTAGATTTTGACACAGGGCCTAAAAAATAAGTTCAAATGCAAAAGACACATCAGGGCATTTACCAAATAATTTTTAAATAGTGTTTGAGTTGTCAGTATTCCAACACTTGCTATTAATAATTTGACTACAAAGTTATTGCCACATAACCTTCAGTCTACGGGTCCCCTGAGGATCTGGTGTCCGGGGGCAGCGGTCCACTTTGCCCAAAGCCAGCCTTGTGCAAAAGCTGTAAATTAAAAAGACAGTATTGACCTTGTCAAGTGAAACACGAAGCAGAGGGTGGCGGTAATGCACATGTTGACAACCAGAAGGCTTTAATAAAAAAAGAGGAAGAAGAATGGCGCATGCGTATTCAGTTAACTTCCATATTGTATTCAGTCTGAGCATTATTTTATCCACTCACCCGATTTATGACAAATCTATATCTGATTGGCTAGTACTTGTTGCCTCCGCTGATTATATTGGTTAAGAGAAGGGTGAGAGTGGGGTTAGGTTTAAGGCTAGCCAATCAGAGGCAGAGTAAGGGGCGGGACCTCTGGTGTCTGTCAAATGAGAGTTGGCAAAAGTCCGGTGGGGAAAAAAATAACGGCCATGGTGAGTGCGGGCTTGTGGACCTTCCCCTTCCGACAGACTCAGTATAGCGGCTCCTGGAGAAAACACCGCTGGATGCCTGCCTGCAGGTGGATACCGACTCTTTACCGTTATCGTAAGAGCCGATGGGACGTCTCGGAGTAGAGGAGAAACTTTAAAACATCTTTAACGTTAGCTGGTGGTGATGAAGGCAGGTTGTCGGACATTAACTAACATCTGTCTTGTCAGTTGTGTTTCTCGTTGTGTCGGTTAACGAGCCGTTTACGTATCGCCAGCTACCAGGTTAGCTCTGTACATTAGCTAGATCAAAGCAATGCTTTTATCACATTTGGAGCTATGGATAACATATTGGGAGTGTGTTTCCAGACCTTATACGGTGTTCATCTGCTCCCTCACGGCCGCATTGTACTATCTGTGGGGCCGCAATTGTCAGGTCAGTCACTGCGGTCAAGGCTGGGTAATAATGACCGCACTATATCCGTGCGTGTGCGTGTGTGTTTTATGTTATTTTGTCTTATTTTATTCTTTGTATTTGTTTTTTTTCATTGTATCTTATTCTGCTGTTTTATTTTGTTTTATTTTTTAATTGAATTTAATTTCTTATTTAGTTTTTACTTAATTTCTTTCTTATTGGGTAAGTTTGTATTTAATCTTTATTCTCTCTTATTTTATTTTAATGTATTTTTCAATATTTTCCCCTTTTTTTAAAGAACGTTTTTGGTGATCGGGCCTCTTTAAGGTGCCATTATTTTATAATAATAATAGTAGGGCTGAACGAATTTGGAAAATAATGTAATCGCAATTTTTTAAACCAATATTGCGATTTCATTTGCGATTAATTTTTAAGCTCTTTACCTTCTATATTATTTAAAAGAGTCAAGCATTAAATCAGTGTATAGTATGACCAACACAATATTAGACCATACACTGTTCTTTCTTGTGCTCCGGCTTCCTCCCACCGTCCACAGACATGCGGACTAGGTTGATTGGTGACCCTAAATTGTCCTTAGGTGTGAGTGTGAGCTGACTGGTTGTTTGTCTATTTGTGGCCTTGATATAATAGAATTATATAGAAAAAAAAATAGAAATATATTGAAAAAGTTGATAAATTAATTTAGCTACCCTTAAAAAGTATTACAAAGTCTTAAATACCGTTTTACAAGGTACTGAATTGTGAAGCTTGTTTGTTTCAAAATGTATTTTTGTCCAAAGAGATCATATGCGTGAATTTAATCAGAATGTAGGCACATAGAGAAATTGTAGTTAATTCATGGAATCCTACTAGATTTGACGCCATCTACAAATTGCAACCATTAGACAAGGTCTCTGCCTGTGGGAAAGATACAACTTAATAAACCTTACAATGAGTTAGTCACTCAATTCCTTCAACTCCAATCTGGGGCGAGTCTTAAGAAAGGTCCTAAAAGGTATAAAATGTCACTTCAGGATTCCTGCATATACCCTATTTTCCTAACAAGGTTACAAAGTGCTTTACTGATAAAAAAAAACAATGGAGGCATTAACAGCATAAAAACACTGGGGATAAATAAAGTTTAAATTGTATAAGAGTGGGAAGATAAAATCCAGCAACATATTAAATATTCATAAATGCTTTCCTATAAAGGAAAGTTTTAAGAAGCGATTTAAAACATGCTAGTGGTGTAGCCTGTCTGATTTCCGTCTGGGAGCTTGAACAGCAAAGGCCCGGTCACCTTTATACTTCCAGGCACAGTTGGAGGTCAGGATTTCCCAGTAGAAATATCAGACTTCTGACCTCAAAGCGTTGCAGGTGCATGATGTTGCATAACTCCAAAACAAAAAACATGCCTCATCGTGGCAAACTGATGTTTATTTGTCAAGTGTACACATACTTGAACCCTCAGCAGTGCACTTGATGTTAATTAAAATGATTTTAGCAAGTAATGTAAATATGTTTCACCTTAACTGTGTCCTTATCTATCTACATCGGTTGGTGTGACGTCAGACAGCTGCCTCTGCATGATGTCGGGGTAGATGGATTTGCCCCAAATTTATTATGAGTTGTCTTGAACGCAGCATTTGTCACAAGCCAGCAGTGGTGGACAGTTACTAAGTACGCTGCTCAAAAAAATAAAGGGAACACCTAAATCACACAACAGATCTTGATGACTGAAATTTTTCCAAGTTCAAAATCTTTTCTGTGCATTGTATAATTTGTTGACAGCAAAATGACGTAACAACGTTCAGCTATGGCGTAAATTCGACACAGAATTATAGATTGGCTTTAAGTGAGCCGAGCTTGCTGTCAACCAGGCTGGTACGTTCTCAGATATATAGTAATTGAATTTAAAAGTTTTTGTGACATCCAGCATTTGACATCCTTCAGGCGGGCAAGGAGATTTTGCACAAGCTGTCTTTATTTTACACGCACCAGCAAAATCCTACCATGAGATTGTTTGAAATACACTCTGCTTTTGAAGCCCTAAACCTCTCACACTTTCTGCTCAGCCCTCAGCGCATCTTGTTTTTGCATGGTTTGTCACACCAAGGGATTCATTTCAAGACCCCTGCGTTTTCATACCCCTTCATTTTGTCTCTTTTCCTCCCAGGTACCAACCCTGGTTTCTAGCCAGACATTCAGTGCGTTCCTCCACAAGCACTGTCCAGTGGTGGCTGAGCGCTTCAGTCCCACGCCGTGGTGCTGGGGAGGTCGGCTTCAAACGCTGGTCTGTGCCATCCTTAAGTCCAGACCCCTTGTCACTTATCGCAAGTAGGATGAACCTCCTGGATGAGTTTCCTTTTGTTTTGTTCTGTTCTGTTCTGTCTATTTGCTGGCTGACACAGTGATCTTGTTATCTTACTACAGTGTCTATATATTTTGTCAGGAAAACCCTGTCTACAGGAGTATTACGTTTATTTCTTACAAATCCAGTGCATTTCATGTGGATGAAAGAACTGTAAACCTATAGAATGGTGAAATAGTCATTTTTGGGTCACTAATGGACTAGTAATCCTCCCTTCATCCCTCAGTGAGCGGATCCGTACAGTTGATGGGGGTCAGATCTCCCTGGACTGGGTGGACAATCAGGCCAGCGAGACCTACCCAGAATCCTCTACCCGCCCCACGGTACTGATCCTCCCAGGCCTGACGGGGAACAGCCAGCAGTCCTATGTGCTCCATGCTATTAGCCAGGCCACCCGCCGCGGCTACAGGTTGTGTCATGTTTTAAATGATACAATTCTTCATCTGTGCCAGAAGTGAAATGTAAACACATTCCTATTCATTACATTAACCAATTTATCTTAAAGGAATAAGCAGGAACCTTATGTGATGTGACTGAGTGGAATTTGTTTTAGTTGCACTGACATAGACATTTTCTTTCCTAGATGTGTGGTCTTCAACAACCGAGGCGCTGCAGGGGAGGAGTTGTTGGTAAGTACAATTATTACCTAATAAGTTATGGTCATGCTTCATTCTACAGCTTCCTTTTGACTGTGGTTGTAGCTTCAAGTAGCTTCACATCTTAAGAGTTTGCAGTGTTTCCTCTAGGATTTTTTCAGTGTTCAGGACAAACAGCAGGAAATGGCAGGAAAACCCTGTTAATATGACCTCAGAATCATTATAGACTGTTCATGTTTGCCTTTTGTGTCTTCATTTTACAGCTTCTGACATTTACCTGTAGACATTAATATACAAAATAGGCAACATGAGAAACCTCCTCCCTTCTGAGGTGCATTTTATTTGCACATTAAAATCCAAAAAGAAACGTCTCCTCATTAGTTTAAAAGGACTAGTTTGCATCACTAATTAGCTTTACTAACCTCAGCTCCTCCGGTCACCTCCATCCTTTCTTTTCCAAAACTACTTTTTGAGACTGAAAACTGAAAAATAATTGAATCAGTCTGTACAGGACAGAGCTGCAGGCTACACCACTTTAGTCTAAGTTTGTACCTGATGTTCTCAACATTGGACAAGCAGGCAGTAATAAAATACAGCTTCAAGTTACTTTCTATAAATTGAGCTAATGTTATGTTACATAGCAGCTATGTAGCTGCTGTAGAAGTTTCCTGCTCAACTCAGTCTGAAAGGGAGGGGAGATGTTAGCTAACTTAGCGCTAACCGCTTCACTTTTCCAGCAGGTGGGAAACAACAGACTTTTCTTGGTCTTGAGAAGCTAACGCACTGTAACAGACACCGTACATTTACTGCCAGAATATTTTCCTCCGCTCGCGTTCACCGTCACTTTCTGGTGCTCGGACAATCAAACACTCGCTACACACCTCCTGATTCAGAGTTACGCTGCTCTTATAACACCATCTGTCACGTAGATGTTCTGCATAGAACGAGGAGAGGAAGCGAGCCGAGTGCTGCCGTGCTCGCTCAGTGTGCGAGTGAAAACATTTGTAGCGCATAGTTTAATGATCGTGGGAAATTTTAGTAGCGGCGGTCAGGATTCAGCATATAGAGGAAACACGAGTTTGCACATTGATCCCTGTTTATCAATCTGCAGGGAGCACTATTTTCAAAAGTCTTTGGTGATTACAGCAGTGTCTCATTTATTAGAGCTGTGGCTTTCTTAGTTGTAACAAACATGATTTTTATCCTGATTCTCCAAGATGCTCATGTGGGTAAACACAAATCAATGTCCATATTTGGGGATTCATCCATCATGTTTTTTTAATTATTTTTTTATCTCTTTATATTAATTTTTTAATTTGAGATGATAGTCTTACTGATCAGACATACAGCAAAGCTGTTAAGAGGAAATCTGTCCTCTCCCTTCTGGCAATAGGGCTGCAACTAATGATAAATTTCATTGTAAGTCTATAAAATGTCAAGAAATTGGGATTAAATGGTTATCACAATTTTCCAGAGCCCAAAGTGATGTCTTCAGATTGCTTCTTTATTTCTAACCAACAGTCCAAAACCCTAAGACTCTGTCATTTATGATAGTAAATGAAAATTTAAAAGCAGCAATTCCTCATTTTAAGAAGATAAAACCAGCAATTTGTTCACATTTTTGCTTTAAACTGAAACGATTAATCGATTATCAAAATAGCTGTCGATGAATTCTTTCGACCGTCTAATCAAATAATTGACTAATCATTGCAGCTCTAACTGGCAAGTCTGCCCCAAAATCTGTGCAGCTGTTTAAGTGAATTACTTAACCTTTATCATACAAATAAATAGTTAAAAAATCATACATTGTGATTTCTGGATTTTTTTTTTTAGATTATGTCTCTCACAGTGGACATGCACCTACGATGACAATTTCAGACCCCTCCATGATTTCTAAGTGGGAGAACTCAGGGTGTTCAAATACTTATTTTCCTCACTGTAAATACTGCATGTAACGCTCCTCCTCTGTCCCTCTGCTTGCTTCAGACACCTGTTACCTACTGCGCGGCCAATACCTCAGATCTTGAGTGTGTGGTGCACCATGTCAAAGGACTTTACCCACATTCCCCTGTTCTTGGTGCTGGTGTGTCTTTGGGAGGGTGAGTAGGTGGACGTACATTGGTTTCCAACTGTTCACATTTCTCTAAAAAAATGGTATCAAAAAGTGATTTAATGTTAAAATGTATCATAGCTTTTTTTTGGTTTTTTTGTGTCTTCCCTTTACCGCCTGCAGCATGTTATTGTTAAATTACCTGGCCCGTAAACGCTCACATTCAGGGATGGTGGCAGGTATCACCATCTCAGTCCCCTGGGACGCAGTGAAGTCCTCCGCCTCAATGGAAGAGCCACTCAACTGGCTGCTCTTCAACAAATACCTCACGAGCGGCCTGTGTCGGGTTGTCACCAGGTCAGATAAGTGGCAGTTTCATAAAGTCCTGAATTTAGTTTAACAATTCGGGCTGTTAAAAAATCTGTTTCTCACAGGCACAGGAAGGTTCTGGAGAAAGTGGTGGACGTTGACTATGTTGTGAAGGTATGGCCCGTTCCTTACATTTTCTTTGCTGTCATAGTTTCTCATCTCGCTTTTTATGTGTGATTGCCTTTACTCTCCATTTTCATTTCATTTCATCCGTCTCATCTAGGCACAGACTATCCGTGAGTTTGACGAACGCTTCACCTCTTTGCTGTTTGGTTATAAATCTTGTGTGGACTATTACCGCGATGCCAGCCCAGCCAAAAAACTCCCCAATACAGCAGTACCCATCTTGTGTCTAAACGCTGCTGATGACCCCTTTTCTCCCCAACATGGTGAGTATGTAACAGGAGAAGATGGTCACTGTGTCGTGATGTTTTGTGATCAGAAGTCTGTGTGTGATTTCATCATTCATGACTGATTGTAGGTTTCCTGTAGAATGACGTTGTATCTCATTGGATCCGAAATGTGATCTGAGGGCATTCACACCTGACATATGATACAGCCAGGTGTGACTGGATGACAGGTGTAGCCACAGCCTTTGTCTTTGGATATGTTTTAGTCTCATATGTGTATTCCTGATCTTTGGTATTGAGTTAAAAATGTAAAGTAATGTAACACACTATGTATTCATCCTGGTCCTATTTTTATAGTTACTGCATTAAAAGGAGTTCTTTTCCCAGAGGATAAATCCAGTAAGTCTGTCTTCTTGACAAAAGTCTGAAAAATCTATGATGTACTCTTAGACACTCAAAGTACAATATGACCTCACTTTCACTTCCCACACAACCCCAGACATATAAACACAGCACTCAACCGTCAATAGTGTGGACAGTATGGAATATGGAAAGATTTAAGTATGCACTGAGAGTGTCAGTATTACAAGTACTAAAGCGGTAGAAATAATTACTTTCTATCTATGTAAGTCAATAATTTACAATGTCAATAAATATTAGTGTTATTGGCAAGTCTACCCCCTCTGTACCAAACGTTCATACTGGGACTGAATGACTAATCATATTCAAACCGAAATTGCGATTTGAAAGAATCGTGAAGACGGCGATTAAAATGTAGGTTAATTATACAGCACGACTGACCTGTTTTAAACAGTCGTGCAGTTACTAATTCATGCCGTTGTCATCCTTGTGTGACAGACCTGCTCGCCAATCAGAAGCGCCATGCGCCTCCTGTTACAGTCCAACGTACCAATCAGAGCGGGCACAGGGCGTGTACATTTTACAACAACAAACGAAACTAGAGGAAAACGTGTTAATGGCGCAAGCCCAACTGACAGAAGCAGCAGCCGTGCCGCAGTTTTATGAAGTGTTTCAGCAGTGGAGCGTTTAGCCTGCCCTAAGTTGTTGACGTTGCCCTTTCTTGTGCTTCAACTATGGATAACAACTCTCTGTGAGCCGGTTTTGTGTGCCGCTCTCCGCAGGCTACATTCCCCACATGGGACATTTCAGAATAAGAGCGTTTTGCCTGCATGTTTTTGCTAACTTGTTCAGATTTTGTTGATTTGTTCGGTTGTCCTCGATTTTTGTGCTTCTACTATGGTTAGGTAGACTGCGTAGTTAAATTGTTTATTTTTTGTCTGTTTTAACTGTGTTTATTGTTGATACACGATCAGGAGTCTACTTAGGGTGTTTTATTTTGGTGTTTTATATTCTCTATGTCGTTCTGTGTCTGACTTCCTGCCTCGTTCATCAGCTCTGTGCAGCTTGACGCTGCTTCTGTCAAAAATAGACTGGCAGTGAATATTGAACTTTAGCTTAACTTTTTAAAAAATTTAATCGTAATCGCAATATCTAGCAGATTAGGTTAGACAATTAGATTTTTTCCCTAAATCATTCAGCCCTAATTCACATCCTCTTATCTGTCTCTCTGCTGTATCTGTAGAAGCCTAGCTAGGATAACGTTAAACTAGTATTGAAACTCGGGCTGTTATGTATCGACATTAAAACGAGGGTTACCCATGGAACTGCAGTTGTGTGAATCACAGGTGACTGTCAGTTATAGCTAGGCATTAAAACGGCTGAAAACAGGGGTGAGGCGGTGTGTGTATAGGTTTGAATGCATTTTCTGAATTAGTGAAGGTGGCGTCTTCAAGCTAAAGTTAAGCTGTTAAGTTGCTCTTTAATGTTTTGTTTTGTGCTGTGGTTAATACCTCAGTCTTCATGCTACAGAAAACGTTTTCTATCTAATGTTTAAGCTTGGCTGCTCTCAATAAATCTGACTCCTTTCCCAATGTATTTCCTGCCCGCACAGCCTTCCCGTTGGCCATAGTCCAGAACCTGCCTAATGTGGCCCTGTTGTTGACGGCGCATGGTGGACACATCGCCTTCCTGCAGGGGTTGTTTCCCCGCGGCGAGAGCTACATGGAGCGCCTGTTTGGTCAATTTGTCCAAGCCGTCTTTGAACACCCAAAGGATATCAAGAAAGCCTGTGGCATTAAGGAGGAGAAGATGAGCTGATCATCTTTCACCCCGTCGCTCTGCACTCTGAACCTGACCTAATATCCGAACGACTGCTAGCTCCGAAGAATATGAAGTCAGTGGCATCATAGCAACAATTCACAAAAATGCCGTAATTTTACCACAGAAATTATGTTTCCTCCATGTTTGCACAGAGAATGATCAACTGTATTGTACAATCATGTGACCTCAACACAGCTACAAGCTAATCTACCTCCTCGTCGCCTCAGGTTCTCTTTTAATGAGCAATTAAAGGAGGATTAAAAAAAGTCAAGAATAAATTTTCATTGTTCAGGATTCTTTCAGCCAGCTAGTTAAAGTTAAAGGGTAACTTCTGTATTTTTCAACCTGGAAAGGATCCCAGTAGCGGTAGACCTTTTTTTTTTTAAAGAGTAAGATCCTTTTTGCTTAACCAGAAAGTTGCTATAACGCTCTCATCAAAGCCACCAGACTCTTGATAATTTTACCTCACAGAACATGGGACTAGCTGGTCTACCGCTGCCTCGGTTGGTTAGTTTGTGTTATTGTATGACTTTGGTGTTTCAAAGGGTAAAAAAACCCCACCAAAGTCACACAACAAAACAGACCAACTGATTGAGGCAGTGGTAGACCGCAGAGGTAAATCTACCTTTTTTGTTAAGGGAGTCTTGTAGCTTTGACGAGTGCGATATGGCTGTCAAACAAAAATGATTTAACTCTTGAAGAAAAGGTCTGACTCAATAGGGATCCTTTCCATGATGTTGTCAAACAACTATAATAACAATCTGAGCCTGTCAGTGGCAAAAACAAGCACTTTAGTCGAAAAACTTTGACGGGGCGCAGTTGCCTGCAAGGATTACATTGCAGCCCTGTCTCGTTGCTGCCAACTGCAAGGTACTCGGCCAATACTGGACCATTTTCAAAAAATGTTGTCCCACTTAGTCACGTAGACACAAAACATTAGAAAAATAGGGTCCAATTTACAAAATACTGAACTTATCCTTTAATGCCTACAATTGCATCTGCAAAAAAAGAAGTAGTGTATATACATGATTTGTCAATAGAATGTAAGTTGCTTTTAATCACGTTTCTCCCACATACCGTCCCCACTTAACATGTAGTGTGTGTAAAAAACAAAATGCACTATTAGTCCCTAGAAAATGAGTACTTGGACTTGAAGTACTATTTAAAAATATTATTTAAATAGAAGTTAAGTTAATATGAAAATTAGAATAGTAATATTGTCCTGTTGATATTGGTATACTGTTTGCTTTGCCTCACGTTACTTTGGTTTTGCAAGACTTGTTTTGCTTGAAGTGAGTAACATGCCTTAAAAAGATTATACTTCCCCATCTATAAGCCCTGTATGCAAACTTTACACATGGTTTCTCAATTCCTAGCATACTCCAAGATAATCCTGCAAGCAGGCTCACCCTGAAAACTCCATACTGCAGGAATAAATCTGCCGTGAAGAAAATACTTTATATCATCTGAGTTTTTGATTTCAACACAAGAAGGGGAAATCTAAACATATTGCATGCTTGTATATGCTATTGCAGTGTGCTTGGTTGCAGTGTAAGTTACGCAGTCCATCAGAGGTAACTGGTGTCAAAAAACCCCACTAAATCTCAGTGTGGTAATTGAGCTATTTGTACCAGTTGTCAATCATTTGTTCATAGCTACTGGTTCTGAATTTGCCTGTGTTGTAATTTGCCTTTGTCATAGAAACACATTGTTTGGAGAATTGGTGGTGGATAAAAGAATGTCTCATATGTGTGTATTGTGGCCATATTAAGTACACATGATAATTATTTGAAGTGTAGTTTGCAGTTATAGGAGGGCATTTGTCATGAATTTGATCACTGAAGTATTTAAAAGTGTGTGTGCACTGAATGTCTTTTAAAATCAGTTTAGAAAATGTATTATGTATCACCAATAGAGCACTGATGATATAAACACAAAATGATATTATGCCAAAATTTAAGCTACTCTTAATTTCAGATTTAATGTCCTTTGCACCAGACGCTACAGTTGTTTGACTTGACTTTAAACAGGAAATGTTTTCAACTGGGACTCAAGAACTTGAGTGTGTGTTAAGAGTAGAGTGGCAAATGTTACTAATAGCTGGCTTATTGAGTTTATTTGCTCATCAGCTCTTTGCAATGTTCACCACATTTACTTGCCTTTAATTGCTGTGTTTTTTTTAGTGGACAGGTGTTTTTTTCCCCAGTTTCACTTCTGTATGAGCTATAACCACAACGTCATCTGTCATATCTATTTGATTTTTGAAATACACTTGAATTAAAGAATGATAATAAAACTAATTTTAATTTCTGGGGGTGATTCTTCATCGTATAAAAGTGATTGTAAGCTCAAGATATCAGTAAGATCATCAATAGCAACACATTCTGTCTGGTGTGTTTTGATTAATACATCTAACCATGAGTGATCCACATGAAAAGTATAACACACACGGCCTGTCACTGGGTTCTTTCCGGTTCCACTGCTGAAATCCTAGCCCTTTTATCCGTGAGCGGTCGAGTCATTAATGTTGTTGATTTACCAGACAGAGTATCAATAATTAACTGTGAACAATAAAGTCCCACACCCTCTGTCACAATGCTAACCCTTCAGCCTCATTTAGATTCATTTAATGACGCTGCAGCCAGTAAAACATCCAGTGGCATGTGGAAAAACAGAAACCTAATGAAGTAGACACTTTCTAACTCTGACAGATATAATCTGGAGTTCGCCCTCGGCTTTGATAATTTCCCTGCTCTCCAGCTGTCAGTTATGCGAGTGTAACTCTCAGAGGAAAGGCACTCAGCATGATTATTTTAGAAAGAGATTGTCTTTGAAAAACTGAATCTTTGTCATTGATTTTTAAAATATCAAGGTAGAAGAAAGTGGGAAAAAGCATTTGAGAAAATATATAAGATTCGTCTCTGTTGCTTGTGTATATCTCATATCATATCTCATATATATTTGCAGTGACTTACTCATTGTTTACCTCGCTTTAATTTTCTCTGGTATCTGTCTTCTACGGCAGCAGGAAATACTAATTCACTGTTAAATGTCACAGAAATCACAAATCAGTATTGCAGTTGTCTTTTAAAGTTAAAAAAGGCCACTGTACACAGGTACATAATGAGAGAAAACAAATTAAATGCAATAAAATCCCACAGAAGAAATCACGATTGTTACAACCCAACTTCAGCTTTCTCCCTAGTCCATCCTCCTCCTCCTCCTGCCTGCCTGTATTCCCCTACCTGATGTGATGGGAGGAGCCTCAGGTTATCGTTAATGATTCAACACCAGACTGCTGAGATTGACAGATAGAGAAAGAGGAGTGAGGAGAGAGTGAGAGATTGCCGGAGAGAAGTAAAAATAGTGAAAAGCTGTAGAGCAGACATGACAATGTAAAGCTGAGAAAGTGTGCAGCGGGTGGAAGAAGAAGTAATGCCAGAGAGGTTGACTGCATGTCTGTGTATCCAGTCTGTAGACAGTCTGGGGGTAAAGCAGAAACACACAGCGAATACTACTCTACATCTGAAAGTGGATCTCGTGAGCAGTTCAGGGTGATTGTTTGGCTCCTATGGTCCTTGCGGCCTTTATAGACTGGACAGACATCCATCTTCCCTCCTGAGCCACACAGCCTGCAGGTGAGTGTGACTGTGGCTTATCTGTCTACATAGTACATGGCATTGTGTCTTTGAGAGTTGGATGTCATGTAAAGAGAGGATTTTAAAGGCATTTTAACAGCTGTGTTGTTAAGCGCTCTAGACCCACATTTCATCAAGTGGCTCGGCGTGTTTAAAGTGCAGAATCTTATCTCTACAGGTTCGTAAACAGAGAAATACTGCAAATACTGTTGATCTGCATGTACCAGAAAACCCTAATATCCTATATATATAGTGCACCTTAAACACACCACCAGACTAGATGCATTTTCTCTCCAGGTTTCTATTACAGAGCATCTTAATTCAGCTGTAGTTACACTTTGCCATGAATTAGTAATGAGGCAGTATGGAGTGTACAGTATGGTGCTTGTTTTGGGATAATGGGGATCAGTCCAGCATCATGTTCCAGCTGTGCAGCTGAAAAGCAGACAGAAATACCTCCCTTTTTTTTAGTTGTCTCTTCTCCCACAGTCGTTTACGGGCTGCTTGTGAATATAGTTGGCTTCCAAAGATCATTGATCGTTGTTAAAAATATGCGTCAATCTTAATGGTCTCGACTGTAAAGGCTCACACACCCCTTCAGTTTCTTGTAGACAGAGACAACTCCCGCACACTGTCCTTTCACTTGCAATAAACTTTATTGAAAGATACAACGTTTCACCTTCATCAGGTAAAACGGAGGAACAGAGAACATTCCAGATAGATATTGCCAACGCCTCCTCAGGGACCATTTCAAAAACAAGTTACAAAGTGCTTTAACAAGTGTAAAGACAATAATACCCAAGAGACAATAATACAAAAACAATACAAGATAAAAGTAATCCCACTGTCTGTATGCATTTAGCAGTTAGATGTCACATAACTGACTATCAAAAAATGTATCCAATCCAGTTTACTCAGTTTATCATGGACAGCAACTGGTGCTCTCTTCTCTTAAATGTAATAGTCTGAAATATATATATATATAATATAATATATATATATATATACTTGAAATATATCTCAGACTTTTGAACAGATTAAAAATAAATGAATACAGCTATGTGTGTGTGTGTGTGTGTGTGTGTGTGTGTGTGTGTGTGTGTGTGTGTGTGACACGTTAATAAAACACCCACAGGCAAATCTGACTTCTTAGTGTGGTGCAACACGTAGTGACGTTTTGTTGCCATTATATTCCCTGTAAAACTTTAATGACCATCAAGCTTAGCCTTTCTTGCAACACAGGCCTGTTAACTCCTGGCACTGCAGCTGCATTGTGTTACGTACTAGATTATCACATTGTCGCCTCCCCCCCTTGATGGTAAATGATTGGTATGATGGACAATATCACATCCACTATAGGTGACTGGGAATGCTATGAAGATTAGGCCCAATGCTGTTATCCATGTCAGTACGACCTTCTGTCCAGACTTGCATTAAAGAAACAACACTCTTTGATAGTGGAATAGGAGCCATTTTATAGTCCCCAGAGTTTGTTGGTAAATTGCTCAGTGACTTTATGATTGCTTTAACATTGTGTCTAATCTCAGCGCTGTCCAATGTTCAGGATCACATGATGAGCACTGTCCTGGTATGGATGTTTGAGTTTTTAGGATATTTGTCAGGTAACCAGTGGCCTTGCGTTTGTATTGATTGTAATGTTTGGTATGTCAATACAGACAAAACATCTTTACATTAACAGCAAAATGAAAATGGTGGAGAAGCCTTGTTATCAGGGCTTTTGCAAACAGATCACCTAGATGAAAAAAATATTGGATCTGGTGTGTGGTTAACCTATCTCATGCAGCAGTGCTAATGAATCTGTGCTAATTTATTTGCATGCACACACATTTGTTGCTTGGCTAGATCCACTCTAATACTCAAACACAAAATTATATAGTAGAGGTTGTTAATGTCACATATTATTGCAAAAAGTACATAAGCAAAGAGAATAAAGCACACGTAAGCACACAACCACCAAAAAGGGAGCTAATAATGACAGCTTTTGTACTATTTTGACAGGTTTTGTGCCATTATCAGTCATAGGTACAGTAATAGATCTTTAGCAAAAGCTGGCAGGGTGTGACAGGATTCAAAAGGCACCCTGTTGACTGTCCATCATTAGTCTGCATTATTCAGCGGTGCTCTTGCTGTGTGCAGGCGGTGAAGTACAGTTCAGGGCCTTGTGAAAAAGGCACTAGCATAGTTACATCCAGATGAAATATGATGTTTGGTCCTTTGTGTGTGAAAGTCTGCACACATACCGGAATGTTTGGTAGTGTATTTAATATCTGTTTTAAGATACATCATATTTAACTTATTACTTGCATACCATTGATTGTGCTGCAGTTTGTGTTTACCATGCTATTATTTCCTCCAATATATATATATATATATATATATATATATATTAATTTTTTCCCCCTGTAGTCATGGAGAAGCAACTACAGGAGCTGAAGCTGCAGCTAGAAAAGCAATGTCTGATCAACCAGGATCTGCAGAGGCAAAACAAAGACCTGAGTGAGTGCAACCATAACTACAACACATTAAAGAGTAACTTCACATTAGACCACACCCAACACCAAAGCTAGCTGGGTTGTGACAAGAATGTACTATAATACAAAGCTACATCACTATTTCACAGTGAGTTGAGCATAAAATAATCACTTATTAGCAGGGCAACAAGGTGTGTTAAGATAGAAAGCAAATCTTGCATCATTTGACCCACTGGACTGTGTTTGTTCGCCCCAAACAGACAATGTATTGACAGTACAGGGGTTAGCTGCAAGCTAGTTGGCAGCGGATGCACAGACCAGGAGTATACCTATGTATGTTTGAGTTTAGCTTAGCCTTTGATCTCAGAAGATATCCAGTTCAGTTATTTTCCTTCAGTCTCTTCCCTTTTTAGCCTCATCTCTGTACTTTTATGAAGTAGACTGGGATAAGTTGAAATCTTCAACTTGTCTCCCACCTGGTCTCACCACCTTGAGGGAATTTGTGTCTAATCACATTTTAATTGCTTTTGTGTGCAATTGCATCGGCTCCAAACTTTGACTTGCCTTCTGACTGAATACACTTAAACTGGTATAGTTACCCTTTAATGCATGTTTATGTAGAATTATTACATTAGTATCACATCAATGAAAAAATCTGTTTTATTCAAATTATAAAAACACAAGTTTGCAATTCAGATTTTAATAAAACGTCTTCAAGACCACACACATATCGGCTGATATTAGCTTATCCCACATACTGTATATTGTATCAGTGTACATTGGCTGATTAATAACAAGACATTGTTGCATATTCAAGCAGGGCAACCGAGAACATAAGGAATTGGACCCAAATGTAGACTAGGAGACAAGTGCAATTCATTGATTCAAAACAAGAACAAGCGGCTTACAGGGATGAGGAGGCAGAGAAAGCGGTCCAATATAGGCAAACAAATGCAAAGGAACAGGGAAAATCCCCAAAATAATCTAGGGTCAAGAAAAAAATTATCCAAAACACAGAGAACTAAACAATAGAAGAGGCTGGAACTCTTCTTGACACATGGACAAAAACTAACTAACACTGAAACAAGGGAACATACAAACTAAATACACAAGTGAGGGGAGGATAACAAGGCACAGATGAAATAATTCAGGCGGGAAACCATACAAATAGGAGGT